CAATGAACCCTTGACTTTAGTGTTGATAGCTCAATGCTCTACTGTTTAAGCTACAGAAATATTATATAGTATTATAGTATGTATTCATATTTTGAATTAGCTCCTATAATTTTAGTTTTATTTTCAGTTTAGTTTTAGTAATTTGATGTGCTTTTGTCATTTTGTTTAAATTTTTTAAATCAGTTATTTATTTTTATTTCAATTTTAGTATTTTTTTTATTACGTCCTAAACTTTTTTTCAGTTACTTGTCAAGGCAGCATTTCTGATTTTCATTTTTTTTAAACGTTAGGTTAGTTTTAGTTCCCTTTCAGTCGGTCACTACGAGTCGCGTCGTGACCGACGAATTGCGAGATCCCAATTCGTCGGGACGTCTCCGTTCCCTCCTTCAGGGAACGAGGGTTACATACGTAACCGAGACGTTTTTAGTTAATAACAACAACACTGGATTTAATTATTTTAAATAATTGTATATTTATAGTTGATCCTTTTTTGAGTCGTTTTAGAATAGAGCTAAAATGTCCCACTTCCTGACTATCACTCCTGTCTCTGTGCAGCACAAGACTCTGTCAAAGGTCAGGGGAGCAGCTCAGGCTTGTATAAGAAACCCTGTCTGTCTATGTTTACTGATATGGAGGATGGAGTTTTAGAGAAAGGAAGTGTGGTTGAAAAGTGTGTAGAAAAAATGAACTGCATTTAGCATATTTTATTAATTATGTGTCAAGTCATTTTTGACTATATTTATCAATGTGTTGTGAGAAATAACAATGACATGATTCATCTGAAGTGTGTTGAGTGGAATGTGAACATTGGCCAGTGTGATCTGCAACCTGAAGACATTTTGTACAGATTTATATTTTGGTTTTTCCTCTAAAGGTCATTAATTAGAGATGGACACCCCACCTCCTCCTAGACTTGATCTTTATCCTGCAGTTGGTTCACCCTCCTCTTCGGTTTCTATCCTCTTCTGTGTTCTTGTCCTATCTGGTGAGATGTCCTCTGTGTGTATTGATCAAACCCATCAAGACACCGGCCAGTATCCAGTAATCAAGCTCAGGCACACTGTTGGTGAAGCTCCAGTTCCCTCTTCATTCATCACTCTACTCCTCTTGTTCTCTCATTCTCTCTACAGCCACCATGAAGCAGGTTGCCCGCACCGTGGCCAAGGTAGAGCTGTCCGACCACGTGTGTGACGTGGTGTTTGCACTCTTCGACTCTGACGGTGAGTATTAAAGCAATAAGCCCCAAGAAGCCGTGGTTTACAGTGAATTTATAACAGCTAAGGGGCGCTGCCTAAAACCCCCTTAGCTGTTATAAATT